CGGGACTAAATAGTCGGGGTGCGGGGTTCGGGACTCAACAGTCGGGCTTCGGGTTTTTGAGCCTTGATAGTCGGGCTTCAGGGCTCGGGACTCACTTGTCAGGACTCGATAGTGCCTCGATTGTCGGGACTAATTAGTCAGGGTGCGGTGTTCGGGACTAAATGTCAGGGTGCGGGGTTCGGACTCGAGAGTCGGGCGTCGGTTTCGGGACTCGAGAGTAGGGACTAAAATATTGACTCGATGGTCGGTACTGCATGTTAAGGTATTCATATTTGGGATTCGATAGTTGGGCGTCGGGTTTCGGGCCTCGACAGTCGGGCTTCGGGCTCGGGACTCGCTTGTTGGGACTCGATATTGACTCGATGGTCAGGACTGCATGTCGGGTATTCGTATTCGTGACTCGATAGTCGGGCTTCGGGTTTCGGGCCTTGACAGTTGGGCTTCGGGCTTCGGGCCTCGACAGTCGGGCTTCGGGGCTCGGGACTCACTTGTTGGGACTCAATATTGACTCGATGGTCAGGACTGCATGTTGGGTATTCGTATTCGTGACTCGATAGTCGGGCTTCAGGTTTCGGGCCTGACAGTTGGGCTTCGGGCCTCGACAGTCGGGCTTCGGGGCTCGGGACTCGCTTGTCGGGACTCGATATTGACTCGATGGTCGGGACTTGATGGTGGGTTTCGGGTTTCGGGCCTCGATGTTCGGGTTGTCATATTCGGGACGCGGGTATCACGACTCGAGAGTCGGGCTTCGGGTCTCGATATTCCCGTAAGTGCATTTTATACAGAATTTAGACTTCATTCTGAACTGAAGGACTACAACTACTCCGGTCCCCTAGGCTTCAATTTGGTTAGGACGGCTGTGTACATCTCAATCTCAGCCATCTTTTCGCGGATGCCATCTTGTTGATCCTGAATCACTGTCAGGAGGCGTTCTCTCATCCACCTCAGTGCCTTCAGTGATGCAACCGAGGTGTCAGCCACCTTCTCGGGAACAACAATACGTTCATTCTCAACTCCTGACTAGAAAGGATTAGTTATCACCCAAGGAAACTTTGTAAAGGTCTTACAAGCCAATACTGGTAGTGACATATACAATTAGCGAATACCAGATCCCATTCCCATACTTCCTGTGGGATTTCAGTTGTCCCGGTCCACCATTGAGCTCCATAGCATGATACAATCCGGGAGGGATCCCCCAGATCTGAATCATCATGAAACTCGCACAGGTGGGATGAAAAGACGTCGTCCGGAACCATGTTCCAGGTGAGCTCGGGAATCAACAGAAGAATATGAGTGACCGGGCTTGGAACAACCAAAATGATGTGCCTGGCAGTTGAGTACTGCAGGATGGGAGTCACAAAAGTCTGTTGGAAATGTCAGCATTGACCATCACAGTCATCAGTCTCTTACGGATATCTCCCATTGCAGCCCGGCTTTGAAGTGCATGATCCGAGCAGCAGAAGGCTCCTTGGTGTGGGCAGCCTCCATCTGATATTGAGATATGCAGGCTCGGATCCGAGATCCAGCCATTGCCATTGTAGCTGCAAGATCTGCCTGAGTGAGTGTGAGGGGTTTGAACCCTTTGCCGGAATTCTGAGAATGAGAAGATGATGCAGGGGGAGGATGCACTACAGACATGCTTGATGCAGTATTATGAAACTGGAAATGACAATCACAATGGCAGTTGGTTCGGAGGTCAAGATATGAGCCACTGGTTGATGGATAAAATTTTTCAAACTCCGACATGGGTTGATCCGGGCAAACTCAGATAGGGGTCGACCCGGCCAATTCCCGGGATTGAAATGTGTGGGTCCAAGTAGCTGTTTCATATCTATGGCAAAGAAAATTCATTCATCTCGAGCCTCTATAAACCCGCCCTTCAGGTCTTGAAATGCTGCCTGGGCATCCTGTGCCAGCAATGAATACATTTGGGATTGCCTTCCCGAGTAGCATGCATGACCCGGAAGGTGTTTCACCAATGACTCGCGCATCCTGTCACCCCATTGGGTTGCTTTCCACAAGAAAAAGTTGTATGTCCAATCCATCTCCAATTCAACCAACATCATTTCTTCCTTCCATCTATCTCGTAGGGCCTTTGCCCGAAGCCAATGCACTCGGTAAACTTCACATGGGTCCGTCAGCTGAGCAGGGGATATGTCAAGCATGCATAAACTCACATTCCTGATTCCACGACTGATCAGGACCCCCAGGTCAACTTCGACAGACCAGAACCAAGCGAGGGACTCGTTTCGCTGACCTCGGGCATTTGGATCGCCGACGGCAGTGCTGATTTTGAGCTGCTCGCGAAGCAGGGGTTTGTATTTCTGCACCTGGTCTTCGCTCGGCTCAAGTTGCATCATTTGCTTCCTTGTCTTATATATACTTGCATGCAGGGACACTGCCTGCTGCACGGACGTCACCTGGGACCAAGCTCGAGTTTTTAGGGCCTGGGATTTCGCTTGCCTAACTGTCGTTCGGAACAGAATCGCCTTGTTGCACAAGTGAATTCGGAGGTTGTGAAGGGAGTCGTTGGCCTGCCCTTCACGAAGGGACAACTCCAGCGGAATGAGATCCTCTGCCATGCAGTGTCTGCATCGATCTACCCCAAGGTTTGATGGCAATGGGATTACAGTGAGCTCGGGGGAGTTCGCCCACGTGTCAGATGTCTCTGTGAAGTCTGTCGAGTCATCATCGAGATCATCGAGAATGTCTACGTTCAAGTCATCAGGATCGTCATCTGCATCAAATCCCTCTCCGAGATGAGTGATAGCAGACCGAGTGAATCCATCTATCTGTCCTTGGAGACGATCACGTTGCCGGGCGATGTCTAACCTCTGTGTCTCGGTAGTTCTTCTACCAATTCTTCGGATCTCGATGAGCAATGCGATTTGAGCTTCTTCAATCGCCAACCCCATTGATATCCATGTCGCCACAGATCTACGAGCAGGCGCTGCATTTCGGGCATTACCCTCCTCCAGTAGTCTAAGCTCGATCTCCTTTTTGCTCGGTGCTGAGTGGAAAATTAATTCGGACTTTGATGAAGACACAGTCAACTTACCCTTCTTGATATTGATCTCATATACATCCATAGCCGAAGGATCATTTATTCTGCTGGACTGAGCGATGCTCTCGCTGGCTAACCATTCTGTCTTTGAATCGCCGGGTGCGGCTTCGTCAAGTCTCTCGAAAGCCTTTTCGCTTTCGGCGATGCCATTCTTCGCCTGCTTGTATTTACGGGAAAGGGTCCTTTTCATGCGGATCATCTTGCAAAATTGGAATCGTTCATCTGATAATCGAGACATTCCTTTCGATGCGGGGGACATTCCACGGGCAGCAGGAGAAATCAGGTTAAGACGTGACCATAGGGTCTCCATGATCTCTCCATCGATCCGACCGATGCCTTCAATAAAATTCGACGCATATCGGACGTAGCAGCTGTCCTGATGTCCGTGTATGTGCCACAACCCGATTCCGGGAATGATGGTCAATTCTGGAACCATTTCGAGAAATCGGCTTCGATCCACCCGAGCCCGAAAGTGTTTGTTGTATTGACAGTTGATATCATAGAAGGTGACCGCCCTGGTTATGCCTTCCATGTTGTGGTGGGCAGCCTCACAAAGGGCATAGTCCATGTTCATTTGTCTGGGAATGATGCATGGTTAACTCGTGAATGTCGAATGGCAGGGTGGGCTTGCCTTTCGCCTTTCTGAAAATCTACCATCGAGTGAGGAACAAAGCAGCCGTGTCGAGCACAGGCTACTCCCCCGATGCCTGTGGATTCCAGTTTGTGCCGAGCCGCATTTGCTTGATTTACTGCCCGGTGATTGCTGCAGCTTGATTTTTCTAAAGTGTCGGCAGCCTCTGCGAGATGAGTTTTATACCTGTCCTTTCCCACCATGAATCCCAACCCATCTGACAGCCAAACTTCATCGAATGGCTTCATGGGATGCAGGTGTTCGGCTTTGAAATTTCCGTCCATAACAAATGACCGGGTGTATTTCCACCTTGGAGTTGTTGTTATACCTGAGGTGACTTCTGTATCGAATGAGACTCACTCATCAAGTGATTCATCCCCTGACAAGGATACATTGATCCCTGGCTGAGGACAAGCGGGGCAAAATAATGCAAGATCACCTGCATTCGGGCTGTCGGAACGATGGCCGAATCCATGCCATTTCATGGCCTTCAACTGCCTCCACTGTCGGGCGACTCTCATGAGCTCTCGGTATCGGTCCTTGCCACGTGCTTTGTCAATACAATTTCCTTTAGACGAGAGATATAGCATTACCGGTACGAGGTGTGGAAACATGTTGGAGGTCATTCGCCGGAGCTTGCTGTAATAGTTCATCGCCGAGGTCCCACATTCAAGGTTGTCCAATAGAAAATCATCGAGCACCCTGAAGGTGAACAAAGTCTTCGGCTTGTTAAATGAGGCGGGGAAAAATCCATGTCGAAACATTTGAAGGTCTGGAGTCATGGCATTTGGACAATCACAGCATCGAACCTGGAGGCGATGAACCCCGGACTTGTCAATGATCACCAGGTGTTCTCCTTCGGTTGGAACTCGGGTCCCGACACACTCGGTAGATCTTCAGGCTCAAGCTGATCTTCAGGTTCGTCTTCTTCGAACAAATCCCACCTGTCTGTAAGTGCCGGACATTGTTTGCCCTCATGACCGAGGTGTATGACGAGTCCGACGTGAGCGAGACAACTTTGCTCAAAGAATTGACCATTCCATTGACTGATCCAGTGGAAGGGATTGCAAAGATGCTGACTTCTGCAACAGCCAGTGCAATACAGTGGCTCCCCAAGACAATCTTGACATTTGTAGACCCCATCCTGGTCGCAGAACGCATCTCCTATCTTCTGGTGGAGCTTCTCGATCCAGGAGGTGATGTAGATATGATTCCTGCCTTGGAAGCCATTGCCTCAGGTAGTCATTCTGACTCTGCATTTGTTATACTTAGCTATCATTTGAATTGCAATGCAACATTTTACATGAACTTGCCATGGTTTTTGGGAGTTGCAAAGGCTCGAATGAGCCTTGCTCGTGCTCGTAAGTATTGTCAGGAATGTCTTCCCAAAGAGGTGGTGCCTCAACAGGCTGAAGTGTTGGTGATTCTGGGGGAGAGTTCGGCATGGACCTGTAGGCATGTCTTTTTTTGCTTGCAAGAGGGACCTTGACCCAAGTCTTCCTACCCTTGCTGCCCCTGGCTTCTACCCTGTGGGATTTTTGCAGTGGGGTGCATCTACCTATCTTCATCTTATTTTCTGAGGCTGCAAGCAAAGCATTAGCTCAGGAATATGAATAAATTGTTATTGCAATGATGCTATGCAGTCTTGATGCGTCATTACAAATTCATTTCCATTAATGGAATTGCATCCAATATGGGTCGATTAACCAATTGTTAGGCTTTGCTCAAAGTTCAACTTGTCACCATTATTACTTCCACCTTGCTCATCCTCAGCCCTTTCTGCAATCTCATTCACAATGGCAAGATCGGGTCATTCCACTCAGTTGACTTCCAGTTCTGGAAGACATAGGGCCCGCCAACCACAGACACAGAAGCTCACGGACTCCGAAATTTCGGAGTTGAAGAACTACCTTCCTGAGTGGACTTCGGCGAAAAGGAATGAGAAGCGGGCAGTTTTCACTGCCATAGCTAGGGCTGCCAGGCTATTTGCTCCCAAGGTCGACCAAGCACAATGGAAGAAGAGGAAGCAGGTGATTCATCCTTGCTTCGCTCAAAACTAAAATTTTAACATCTCATTCATCCATGAACTCTCAGATGTACAAGACATGGTTGTTCAACAACAAGAAAAAGAAGGAGAGAAAGGACATGATAAAGTATGGTAGGAAATGGACTCCTAGGCAGGTGGTCTACCAGCAGAAGCGGGAGGAGGTGCTGAAGAGGATCGAGGAAGAGTCCGGGGCAAAGCCAGGAGGTCCCGGTATGTTCAAACATTATCAGGCGGCTGTGAAGAGAGTCATGGCCGAATTGTCCGATGATGAGTTGGAGAAGGCGAAGGAAACCGCCGAAGAATGGTCGACCAACTTCCCGCCTCCCGAGATACAAGCACAAGTGGCTCGTAAGAAGGGACCGGCTTATATGGAGCACTTTTCGAAGGAGATGTGGAGGCAATGCGGGATGAGAGTGTTTGTGATGTCGGCGTGGAAGAATGAACAGGGAGAGGGTGCTGTTCGGGATGTAAGTCAATTTTGTCATGTCAATCTTCTATCTCAATAGATTTGATGCAGGCACGATGATAACGAGGCGTTAGGAGATGGGGACAGTTTCATGAAGACGAAGGACTGGGAGGACATCGAGCCAATTTTGGCCAGGAGTACGCACAGGAACAATTCGGTGAGTGTTCGAAACTCTGGCTACTGGATGAATGGTTGATCTTTCTCATGATAGGTGCCGGGCACGGGACGGAGGGCGACAGGTGAAGGGAGGTCGAAAGAGAATCAGGGGAAGCCTGCTTTCGAACTTCGAGACCGACGGGGATGGGGATGCCGTTGCTTCCAGACATCACCGAAACAAAACTCGAGGAGAAGAAAGCCATAGTCAGAGCATTTCTTACATCTCACTATCGTGAGTCGATCGTCACAACACCCTAACATTTGTTCAATGCATTTTTACAGGTATCTGTTCCGGGATCGAAAAGGCAGTCGTGCCATGGAGCGCCATCGTACAAAGTCAGGATGGACTTTGTGGCAAGACAGTATGTTCCGGCGGATGTGGACTGAAGGGAGCCATCGAAGTGCCAAACATTGGGACACGACCCCGCCCTACTGAACTTCTGGTATGCTCGGCAGGAGGAGAGAGGCAAATGGTCCAACGTTTCCTGTTCAAAGCATGGAAGAACATAGATGGGGACATGGTACCCTCGTTGTAGCCGGGAATTTACCTTCTCATCGGGCTCGTAAAGGTAGGAAGAGATATGATCCGAAGGCCTCGGGAGGCCGAAACTGACAGTGGATCTGGAGAGTGATCCCAAGGGTGACACTGCTCACATGGAGGATGATGCAGGTGATGACGCATTGGAAGGTAGATCCCCGCCGAAAGAGACGCAGAAGCAGAGCCTGGTCCTTCGACGGCACATGAAGGGACAGCGGTCCCACATGCAATTCCAAAGCCTCGCCCGGTCAATGCAGGGAGATCGAGTGCACTGCTGACATCGCGAATGGGCGACCTCCTGGCTGGACTGACTGAGGGGGTCACCAACAATGTTCAGGAGGATGGCGCAATCCATGGAGTCAATAGGTCACTGGCACCGAAAAACATGCGGGGAAATAAGGCTGTGATTGAGCCTTCGGCGAGGACTACCCGGAGTAAGTCAACACACAAGCCATTGGACACTAGCCCTCGAGTGACCAGAGCGAGGGGAAAGAAGCAATAGACTTATACTACACTCCCTGCCTTTACCTGCTTGTATTTAGATGTCAATGTGTATCAATCATATCGATTAGTCCTAGAATGTCTGGTGTCCTGTGTGTGGATGAGGTATTTATCAAATTTCTCTTTGTTCTCTATCTCGGAATTTCTAGTGTCCTTCCTGACACTATCGAACACCGAGTTCCGCCTATCGAGTATCATACCTGCATGTATGTAAATATCAATGTGATTCAATCATGTTGAATAGTCAAGAACATTGTCCCGAACATCGAGTCCCGAGCATCGAGTCCCGAATATTGAATCCCGACTATCGAACACCGAGTCCCGGACATCGGGCTCCTACCATTGAGTCCCGAACATCGAATCTCGAGTCCGTAAAGCCGAGTCCCGAACATCGAGTGTAGAGTCCCGAGTACCGAACATAAGCATCGGGTCCCTGGCATGGAGTATTGAATCCTGACAATTGAATATTCAACAGTCCTGACTATCGAACACTGAGTCCCGTACGACGCCCGGGGACGTGAATTGAAAGGTGAAGTAGTTTACATGATGTGGGGAGGTGAATGAAAATTCAGAGGTTCTAATACAGTAATTTACTTTGGTTTGTCTTCTTCAAAGAGTGCAATCAGAGAATCAACTACCTTGAGCATTTCAATGCTCATCTGCTCAACTCTCTGCAACCTTTGTAGGTCTGCATCAGCTTTTTTCAGTTTGTCGGAAGTCTCCGCCCAGGCAGTTCGGAATGGTCGCTCGGCCTCAAGGAGTAGTTGGATGGACGGGTCAGGAAGACCTCCAGTACGGCGTTTGTAATCACCCAGTCGATCTTTAATGGATTGGTCTTCCAGAAAAATTAGCAAACAGATAAATACTCTGGTGTCAGATACTCACATTTTTCATGTTGGTATTTTCCGAAAGGATGGAACTCCCGGACCATCAAACGTAGGTCTTCAATATCGAGCTCCGGCTTGTCTGCAGGAAGTTCGGTAGATGATGTTTCGGCTGGAGAGATACGATCAGGATTAATCATGCTCTGGAAGGAATGAACGCACATGAACTAGATACATCTGAGGCAGCCGGGGAAACACTGGGAGGATAAGCAGAATCCGGCAGCTCATCAACATCAATGACATCATCCTCGGGCCCGAGGTACAAGTCTGGATCGACGAGATAGCCGGCATCATCGGCCTGGCCCGGATCTGATTGATCTTCAAGGGTGAAGTGAGCATGGATGGTGATCCCAGATGAAAAGGAAGGTATAAACATACCGGGAATGTCAGCCATTGCACCCGGGGGTCCTGATGACATGGAAACATGTTCTAAGTCATCTTCCGGCCCGAGGTATAAGCCATCTAAGTCATCTGAGGGATACCCGGTAAATAGATAAGGAATGATAAGAGAATACAACATACCTGGTGATACCCGGCCCATAGATGAGTCATCCACATCCATAGCATTACAGTCAGTCACTGGGGGGTCATTAAATCTAACAGCTGGATGGGAACTCATGTTCTGTGGAGAATTTGTGGTCTGGTTGACTGATGATTGAAAAAACTTCAAAGTTCAACACAAATCCGGCAATTGCCGAAAGTTGAACCACAGCCAAACAAACACAAACAATGAGCGATTTTATAGATCGTCCATCAAATGTCTTGTTTGTTTTGAAACATCATCTTTCTGACAACTGATTTCACTCTGATTTCAAGATCCTTAAATCTCCCAACTCAACCATCATGTCCACTCCAGTAAACAACTCTTTGACCGACCTCAAGGACTCCACTGGCCAGATCATGGCCATCATCAGCGCTGCCCGGCAGATTCCCCCGGGTCCCAGCCATGCAGCTCTGGGAAAGCAGGTTGCTACACTTGTGGTATGTATTTATCTTTTTTCTTGTTTTTTTTTGCCTCTCACATCCAGGCAGTCTGAGGTAGCCAAGATCTATGGGTCCGGGGATGGTCCCATTCCCGGACTCGTCATTTCTTGCATCAAGGAGCTCCAGCACATCCGGAACATGGTTCCCAAGGTCTGGCCATCCTGGCACGCGATCGGGTATGACGATCCCCGCGTTCTGAGGCACGTCTGGTACCCCAAGGTCCAAGCCTGGGAGGCCTTAGGTGACCCGGCCTTCAATCTTCCAATTGTCGCCCTCCCATCCACAGGTCCCATTCCTGTCCACCTTCCTTCCCCAGCCATTCCTGCCAGCAATGTCGCCGGCCCTTCCACCCTCCCCACCACCGAGTCCCGTGACAAGGGCAAAGGTAAGGCCGTCTTTGCTGACCCAGAGCCCGAGGCGGAGGGGAGTAGGAAGAGGAAGTCTCCCATGATGTCAGAGCACTCCTCCCAACCCCCGAAGTCGGCGATGAAGACTCACAAGCGTACGCGGTCATCTCGCGTTGTGAAGTCCAAGCCCATCGTGGAGTCGGAAGATGAAGAACCGACTATCAAGGTATGTCGTCTGGTTCTTCTTTTCCTTGTCTCACATCTTCCTGCAGCCCTTGTTTTCGCGTGGAGTGCCGGAGGTCCTTGTTCCCCTGTACTCCACAATTCTCGCAAGGGCGCCCACTTCCCCTCGATCCCCCAGGGCTCCGACGAAAAAACCGTTTGGCCCTGCCACTGTAAGTCCCATTTACGCGTCTGGGCCTCAGGGTGTATGCTTACATTGTACCAGGCGATTGCCGGCAGTCACCAGGCAGTCGTCGAGCCCTCCCAGCCAACTCCCGAACCCCCTGCGCAGGCACCCCCAGCTGGGGATGGAGGTGACATCCTGATTCCCGGACCAGTAAGTACCTTTCTTTATCTGACGTACTTCCATACACTAATACACCTTACAGAACAACCCGTGCCACGCATGCACAAAGCAAGACTGGCCTTGTGCAACTCGGTACACCAAGAAGACCGGGGCTCCGGGTACATCGTGCGTCTACTGCACCACAAAGAAGATCAAATGCACCCCTGCGTATATGGGATCCCCGCCTCCTCGCGTTCGTGGTTCCTCTACCACCCGGACGACCAAGTCCAGGACGCCATCCAGGGCTCCCTCCAAGGCTCCCACCAAGACTCCCACCAATGCCCCCCCCGCGTCCCAAACCCCTGCCCCCTCCAAAGTGCCCCCTGCCTCCCAATCCAAGGCACGCACTCGCAGTCAGTCTCGTGGCCCGTCCGGAACTTCCAATGTCACTGCTGTGACAGCCCCCAAGACCCAGACGCGTGGTCGCAGCAAGACCATCACTGCTGTCAAGGCACCTGCACCTGCACCTGCACCTGCACCAGCTCGTAAGTCACCCCACATCTTTCCCATGACCCCCTGACCTTTGGCTTCCATTCTAGCGCTTCCGGCGCCCAGGTCAGCAGTCCCGGCTGCACCACGTGGCCCGGCAGTCCCTGCTGCAGCACTTGATGTGCCCATGCCGGATCTCCATGCCATGTCCATTGCGATTCGTGATGGAGCAGCTCGAATCGCTCTTCTGGAGGCTCGTGTGGCACAGCAGGATGGTAAGATTGACACCCTGCAACGCCTTCATGAAGGCCTTAGGCGCGAAATCATCGACCGGCACCCCTCATTCCCACTGCCCGATCTTCCTGCCAATGCATCATCCTTGTTGCTCAATCAATCCGGCCCCCCCACCATATCAACCACCGCATCTGTACTCCCGCCCCTCATTGATCTCATCATGGATGACGTTCCTCCCACAACCGCAACCCCAATACTCCCGGATGCCTCTGCCATTGATGGCATCCTGTTTGAATACAACCAGGTCGTTCATTCAGAGGATCCAGATGCTTCCGGCGATGCTCATCCAGAGGATCCAGAGGATCCAGATGCGTCCGGCTCCATTGTGGACCCAGGTGATCCAAGCAACCTTGTCCCAGAATATGACTCTTCTGATGACATGGATGTTGAGGTGGAGGTGAAGGTTGAAGAGCCTTCTGAGGAGGTTGACATGGCTACATAATCTTGTAGTAATAGATGTATATACAAGTTTTCAATGAATGTGACCTCTGACTGTCCTTCAACGGGATCTGAGTACCAAGTACCGTGTACCGAGTACCGACACCCGACACCCGACACCCGGTACACGGTACTCCTATGTTTCATGTTACATTTGTATGTCTGTACAGACTGTATCATGTTAAATTGCTCTGTACACATTTCACCGAGTACTGTGTACTGGGTACCGACACCCGACACCCGACACCCGGTACTCGTTACTCGGTGAAATGTGTACAGAAGTATCATGTTACATTTTTGTCTGTACACATTTCACCCAGTACCGGGTGTCGGGTGTCGGGTGTCGGGTGTCGGTACTCGGTACACAGTACTCGGTGAAATGTGTAAAGAAAAATGTAACATGACACACAGTGCTTACAGACAAAAATATAACATGATACACAGAGTGTCTACAGACATAAAAATGTAACATGATACAGTCTGTACAGAGATAAAAATCGGGTGTTGGGTGTCGGGTGTTGGTACCCAGTACACAGTACTCGGTGAAATGTGTACAGAGCAATGTAACATGATACAGTCTGTACAGACATAAAAATGTAACATGAAACATAGGAGTGCCGTGTACCGGGTGTCGGGTGTCGGGTGTCGGGTGTCGGGTGTCGGATGTCGGTACTCGGTACACGGTACACGGTACTCGGTGAAATGTGTACAGACAAAAATGTTATATTATACACTCTATCATGTAACATTTTTCTGTACACATTTCACCGAGTACCGTGTACCAAGTACCGACACCCGACACCCGACACCCGACACCCGGTACTCGGTACTCCTATGTTTCATGTTATATTTTTATCTCTGTACAGACTGTATCATGTTACATGTTTATGTCTGTAGACACTCTGTGTATCATGTTATAGTTTTATGTCTGTAAGCACTGTGTATCACGTTACATTTCTGTCTGTACACATGTCACCGAGTACTGTACTGGGTCTCGGGTCTCGGGCGTCGGGCGTCGGGCGTCGGGCGTCGGGTCTCAGTACTCGACATGACACAAAACTCGAAACTCCAATCTTAACAGAAATACAAATCTCAGAGCAAAATGTGTATCATATACGAGTTTCGAGTGTTGAGATTCAAGATTCGAGATGTTTGTTTCGTGTCGAGTATCGACACCCGAGACCCGAGACCCGGTGCTCGGTACTCGGTACTCGGTACTCGGTGAAATGTGTACAGACAAAAATGTAACATGATACACAGAGTGTGTACAGACATAAATTGTCACATTATATAGTGTGTCTCATCTGATATTTGTCTGTACACATTTCACCGAGTACCGAGTACCGAGTACCGAGTACCGAGCACCGGGTCTCGTGTCTCGGGTCTCGGTACTTGGTGAATGTCAGATATGGCTTATTCAGGCTTTCTTGTATCTATCTACTCGACCAAGATGTTTCAATTCATGAGCACTGTGGCGAAACGTGACTGTATCACTCGTCGCTGAGTCTGAGTCAAAATGAGGCAGCTCTGTGGTTCTCGTTCAGTGCTTTTGTGGATATAGTATACCAATACCTAGGCCTATCTGTCTATATGATTCATATCTGGGCCCACCTGTCTGTCTAATATTAACCCACGTCGGCCCACCCTTCTATATAATAAATATTTCACCTCGCCCTCGGCCCACCTGTCTATCTAATATACCCCTTCTTCCTTCAATGCACTCAACTGGTCGCATTCATTTGTTGCATCTTGTAGTGTGGTGACTCTCTTGCTCAGGGTGGTAGCTTCTGTTTTCGCCCCGACCAGTTGCTCCAGTGTTTGGATGAGGTATTTATCAAATTTCTCTTTGTTCTCCATCTCGGAATTTCTGGTGGGCTGTTATGGGGGGGAAAAACGACACCCGAACTTGTTAGCAGGTCGCGACTCGCGAACATGGCCCACCCGTCTATCTAATATTTCCCTATGTCGGCCCACCCATCTATCTCATAAATAATTCACCTCACCCTCGGCCCACCCGTCTATCTAATATTAACCCATATCGGCCCATCCGTCTATATAATAAATATTTCACCCCACCCTCGGCCCACCCGTCTATGTAATACATAATTCGCCTCACCCTCGGCCCACCCGTCTACCTAGTAATACCCCACGTCGGCCCACCCATCAAACCAAAACACCTGACATCGGCCCACCCGTCTATGTAATATTTCCCTACTTCGGCCCACCCGTCTATGTAATACATAATTCGCCTCACCCTCGGCCCACCCGTCTACCTAGTAATACCCCACGTCGGCCCACCCATCAAATTAAAATACCTGACATCGGCCCACCCGTCTATCTAATATTTCCCTACGTCGGCCCACCCGTCTATGTAATAAATATTCCACTGCTCCCTCGGCCCATCCGTCTACAAAATAATACTAATACGTCGGCCCACCCATTTATATAATAATATTTGCTATACATCTCTCCTCAGGTCTATAATATATGTCAATCCTACTCTACATATTACCCACATGGGCCCACCCATCTCCATAATAATATTTTTCCCGGCCCATCCACCATTGTCAATGATATATATAACATCAGCATACATGGGCCCACCCGTCTCCATCGGAAATAATATTCCTCCCGGCCCACCCATCAGCATCGGGAATATACATATCATCGGCCCATGATCCGCTGGCCCGTATTACACGGGATATTATGTAGGTCGGGTGACCCGTATAGTACGGGATTTGTCACTGAAGGGGCTCGGTAAGTCAGCATCCGTCACCGCGCCACCCTCGACAGTTTCGGAAACGAACCAGCCAGACCCTGCAGCACTGTGGCCCTTCTTCACCATCTTGACACTCGCAGCACTTGTCCCGCGATAACCTTGAGAGAATAGGATGATGCGCGAGTGCTTGGGCATTGTGTAGGCGATGGCGTGACCGCATTGTTTGCACGTAAACTTGGTTTCGACTAGGGTGGCTGGACGGGAGGCGAGGCGCTGCCAAGTACGGATGCACATACAGTTAGAGCATTGGTAAGGCAAAGCCTTGCCACAGGGGCGGTTGTTCTCATGGAAAAAAGTATATGTTGTCGTAGTCAATGAGGCCTCATCTTCCGGAGTGTGTATCATTCCCTGCTTGTACTCGGCCACAGTGGGCCGGCGACGACGGAAGGCGCTGTTCGTGATGTGCAAATGAACTATAGATGAATGGTTTGCAAGTCGAGGGCATGCCAGGAGGAGGTCTTGCATGACCTCCTGCGTCTCGAAACCTTCAACGAGGACGCGGTCAACATAGGTAATGAATAACGGTGTGGTGAGGCATGCATGAAAAAGTTCGGCACCAAATGCAAACACATGTTCGATTCCGTAACTGTAAGAGAAATTATCAATAACACCGACTAGGTGCGAGCAAAAAACATCACCGTTTGACACAATCTTTGAACGCGTTGAATGCGATAGGTTCCCGTACCATATGGCCACATGCGAGCATCCATAGCGTAGCACCCTTGGCGTAGTCCTCCATCCCGCCGACAAATAATCCTGCGAAAAACTGCAAGGAGTCAGATACTGTAACAACGTAAGTATTTCACTTACTTGATCGACCGTGTACGCTACAGGTTCACCAGGTATAATAGTTTTATTTTTCCCCCTTCCCACACTCTCGCTGTCTTCGAATCCCCCCCAGAGGTCGCCTCGGAGGGTCTCTGAGTGAGTATAGACCACAATTTCAACACGTTCATATGCAGTGTGTTTGATATCCCGCACGAGCTTTTTCATTGCCTGGGTGTGCTTGTTGAACTTCTCCACTGTTCCGAAGTCGAAGATAACTTCGCGGTACTGAATAATATCACTGGGCCTATACGGCATTAGCTCTTGTCGCATGATGGCCGCAGGCGAGTGGGAAGGTTGCAGGGTCTGAAGAACAAAATGTAATATGAGGATAGGGTCGGAGCAAACCTGTGACCGACTGGTTGTTTCCGCATGGCCATTAATAATGGCAGGGACAGTCAGCGTCGGAGTACCATCATGGTTCATAAATCCCTGATTAAAGAAGAGTCAGTTCCTGTATAAATATCTGAATGAACTTACGGAATAAGGCGCTACTGTATCACCCTCTCGATCTTGTCCCCGGGTTTCATGACACCCCGGGCAGATGAAGTGGACGTCTTCTTCTTGGACTCGCGCCCAAAACTCCTTTGGGATAATGATGCATTTGTGACACACGGCGCGTGGGCATTTGGAGCAGTCGTATAGCGAGCCGCCATCCCGGCAGAAAAAGCAGTACTATGAGGGTCGTTTGTGAGCTAAACAACTAGAGAACAGAGGCTTACTTACTATGTTATGAGACACAGGCTTCAGCACAACTTTCGCAGATGACAATAACCGTGGTGTTGGCTTGGAGAACACGGTTTTTATAGTTGTTGTACCGGCGTGGCCTTGGACGCTCTTGAAATGAGGTAATGCGCCGCGCTTTGCAGGCCCTCCCGTAGTTTTCTTGCATGTTTGCTTGGACCGGACCATGTTTATGACACAAATGATCCGCAAGCCCTGGAGTGAAAAGTCGAGAGGGAATCAGGGATGAAATTTCAAAGGTAGAACCAAACCCCAGGAGCGCTATCACGGTCACGTGCGAAAGTTAGTGTTCTGTTGTCATGTGACACGCGAATTGTCGCGAATAAGATTCAACGCGATCAACGCATCAGGATTCAGCATCAACGAAGAAAGAGGATCAAGTTGCCTACCCAGGTGTATTTACGGTGACATCGAAATGGTTAAGCAGCGAATATGAGTACGATCTATGTATTGTTAAAAGCAAGAAGCTTGAATTATATCAGACACGGTTCATAATGTTTGGCCAGCGAATCTCAGTTCAAATTCTCAGTTCAAACAGTCACGTGCATGATTACATGATGTGTGAGCGGGATTGCCCGATTACATCCAATGTTTCTGGGACCGCCGATAGATACACACATTGTCAATATGTCTGATAACTCCAGCAGTGGATCTTCACACTCCCTACGTTCTCAAGGCACTGTTGATATAACATCAGTTGTTGCCACTGGTAGTGCATCAAGGAAGCCTCCTGCGGTGTGGTCAAAGTTAGAGGAGACAACATTTCTCGAGTATCTCTTGAAGGCCCTTCCTTCATCGGGTGATGGAGGCTTCAAGATGGCAACCTATAATCTGGCATCTGCCCACCTCAAGGAACAACATAAAAATCAGAAAGGTGCAGAAAAGACTGGTTCAGTTTGCAGGACTAAATACACAGCGGTACGTTTCTTGCAAACTTTTTAACCGCCAGCATGTCATCATATGTGTTTTATAGTTGAAAAAAGCATACTACGGTGTTATTGATGTCAAGATTACATCTGGTTTCACATGGAGCGACGAGCAAGGAGCAGGCATTACAAGTAAGAAGGATGATGTCTGGGCGCGGTTCGTCAAGGTAAGCATTGCAATAGACTGAAGGGTTACTTGCCGTTCATGACGTTCATTTCAGACACATCCTAACTCGAGGCCCTACATGAACAAGGGCTTTGACCACTTTGAAATTATGGAGCAATTATTGCAAGGTGTATCAAAGGGTCTGCATATCTTTCGACCCGCCACTCAGGCTGCCAGCAATGCACCTCAGAATTCTGCTGCATCTACGTCATCTTCCATTCCCCCAGTGACGGGGCACGCACCTCCACCATCCTCAGTGGATCCTGAATCACTTGGGCCACCCGTTCCATCTACCTTTCTCTCTCCCTCTACCGAAGGTTCTACCACTGGTACCGACTCAGCATGGACGAGCATTAGCCGTGGAAAGCGCAAATTCAGTGCACTCACTCCTTCATCAGTCGCAGGCTCCCAGAAGCGAACTCGGCCACCATCTGCAACATTGTTAGTGCAGCGGGAGGGTACTGAAACCATGAAGAACCTTGTTGAAGTAGTGCGTGAGATGCAGAAGAATTTGGTGTTAGCCCCACCGCCACCGCCACTGCCGCCAGTGCAGCTACAGCCCTCCACGCATGTTGGGAGTGCTATTTCCTTGCTCAACAAGTACACGGACCTAACCAGTAAAGAGCGCTTGGCTATCGCCAACTTTTTGGCCGGAAATGAAAACCAGGCCATCACTTTCTACTCATTGGATGAGGCAACGAGGCTTGAGTGGTTGGAGGAGAAGCGGGTGCTTTGTGGTGGTGTGCCACGCCAGGCATCGGCTGACTTACAGGACTGTATGTTGGTGGGGTAGCGCTATTCATTTCATGTCTTTACATTGTATGAGCCGCAGTGGTTGTATGATAAATGACTACAGCAATGGGAGTCCCCTTCGTTCACGCTCCTCGAGATAATCAGCCCACATCGCTGCTGCAATCACCTCTCGACGGGCATCTGCCCGTTTCCTCTCAATGGTATCTGCTGGTCCTTCAGAAAGTGTGCCAGATCCTATGCCATCGTCCTCTGCAAGATCATACTCATGCTCGAGGGCGAGATTGAAAATGTCAGGATTGTGTCTTCGCATGAAGTTGTGGATGGCGCATAGCGCTGCTGGGATCCGAGCTTGGACGTCCATGTTGTATTCTGCTGCGGCCGTCAAAATGCGCCATTGGCGCTTCAAAACACCAAAGATCCGTTCGATGATGTTGCGCAGTGCCGCATGTCGTAAATTAAACAGTTCTTTAGGATCTCGTGGCCTATGAAATTATTTAGAACTAGACCATTGAATGTGGAACAGAAAAACTTACACAAGGTTTGCTTGCCGCCATTCCTTCAAGTGATACCGCACACCCCGATAAGGTACGAGAAGCGCATCACATGTACCAAAGCCTGCATCGGCAAGAAGATACTTTTGTGCAGGCATGTGCAAATCATGAGTGCGTGCATCATTCCAAAGAGCAGCATCAGCGGCTGAGCCGTCCCAGCCACAGAGCGAGTATGTGAAATAAAAATCCAGGTCGCATATGAACAGACAATTTTGCGACAAAAATCCCTTTCGGTTGCGCAGGACGGTGTGCTCTTCAAGTGGCGCAAAGACTCGAATGTGAGTGCCGTCTACAGCGCCAATGCATTGATCGAAGAACCGGAACCGTGGGTCCTCGCGGATTGCTGCAGAAACAGGAGTGTTGTCATTTGGGAACTGGACATTCAAGGTGTAGAACGGAGGGGATGAAAAGAAAAGAAGCAAGCGCTTGAAATATCTGCGATAATTAGTACACTATTAGTCTCAAATTGTTGATGTATATACCTTGTTATCGTATCTGGCGAACGCTGGAATCTCTCGCCAACATGGCGAGATGATAGTCCTGTAGTACATGTATACAAAAAAATGCCGAGCTGCTCTGCGGTGGAGACACCATTGCGGGACTGGACATATCCGTGTTGCTGAAGCATTTGCAACAGTTCCTCGAAAACCTCAAGATCAAGACCGAAGTTGTGTTTGATTCGGTCTGGGTGACCAGTAATCAGCTCATATACCCATGCCTCTCCAGTGAGGATAGATGTATGATATGGAATCCTTTCTGTGCGGGAGAAAAACAACAAATTGTAGAGATATGATATCTGAGCGACTGCAATTGTGATTATGAGCATAATTTGGCGTCGTCGGCGCAGGTCATTCTGTGTTTGTGCTTCGAGGTCCATGTGGGTGTGATCATCAATATCAGATTCATACTATGGCTGTTGTAAGCCTGTATACTATGCGTCTTATCAAGGTTCAATCTATGATGTAACAGATATCACGTGTTGTCATCATGTGACTGTTTGAACTGAGAATTTGAACTGAGATTCGCTGGCCAAACAACACCTTAGGGAACAAGCTCCGGTTCATGGCTGGGTTCACCATCTCCGTAAGCTGAACGAACATCAGTTTCCCGATGTGCGCGAGGCTGAGACGGACATGGTCCATCGCGTTTGTCAGGGCCAGCGCTTGGAAGTTGCCTGCATGGTGGACCTGTCCAGTGTGGTTATTCGACGCAGAAGGGGGCTCAATAAGTGGGTTGTCGGTGGCTGTTGGGATAAGGGATGAGTTGATATTGATATTTGGCTACGGGGCTGGGGCGACTTACTGGAGTTAACCTCGGTCGTGATTACTTGTGCTGCATTTGCGAGGTCCTCGAACTGGGGACCAAGCCATTGGGGGGCTGTCCGGAGAGAGTAACTGCAGGGGGTTAGCGCTGAGTTTTGGTGACCTGAGTGTGGAACTCACCGATCCTGCCTCAACACGCCGGCATCATCCTCAAGCTTGACTTCTATCTCATGTTCACTTGCAAAGGAAGACCCGGCGAGCAGAGTGTGCATGAGACGTGCGGAGTGGATCTGGATTGAGTTACCAGGGGATTACGAGTGGATATGAAAAATACATTATGTTTCGGAGGTTAGCCACCACGAGAAAAACGAGAAAAAAAGAAAATCAGTTCTCCTAACTGCTTGAAAAATACGAAAAAACGCACCTGTCCGATGTGTGGCCTTGCCTCGCTGACGAAGGGATCAAAGCTGCCTCTTGCGCCGAGCATCGCTTCAACAGACATGGCTGTTAGGACCTATAAGCACAAACAAGTCAGTCTGATGCAAGAGACAGCCGTCAGATGTAGAAACACTCACGGCACCCAACACGGCCACTCCCCGTGCGCCTCTCACAACCAATGCACTTACAGCTGCACTAAATGCCGTGCCATTCAGGATTCCCAAGTGCTCCTTGCTCGAGAGTGGGAGGGGGGTGATGCCGGCAACCTGCAAGGCCTGCGGGGCAGGAAGGAGGGCGTACGATCCGTGATTGTCTGTTTTTGGAGTATCTATAGGTAGGGTAAGGGTATCGGCTGAGGGTGGCAGGAAGATGGACGTAGAGAAGGGTGACAATTCGGGCGAGGAGTGTGGCGAAGATGTTCCAGTTGACAAGGGGGTTGAGAAAGTACTGGGTATGGCTGAAGACGGATGAGGCAAGGGAACCCAAGCCCTGATAGCGGGGTTTCCAATTAGTGTTGCAGCAACGTAGGAAAGGGAGGATAGGTCTATGGGAAGGGAGTTGATCATGATTAGTACCTGAATAAAGGCAAGAAACAGAAACAGATTACTGACCGCCACTGGCGCTGACGCTGCCCCTCACAGGAACGGCAGGGGTAACACCCTTATTAAGGACCTCTGCCATTGTCTGGACAAGTTCCCAGCGGACACCGCTGTGTCCGCGCATGAGACTATTAGCGCGGACAAGGAGAGCGGCACGTGTCCAAGGGGGAGGCATAATAGTGCTGGTGAATGGGTCAGAGAGGGGGGCGGGGGAAGGAAAAGGGTTGTCATTGAGAGACGATAGGGTGGGGATAGCAGTAGAGGGACTCGGTGGGTAAGTATGGAGAATGACGCCGGCATGCTGGTGCTGGAGGGGAGCAGCGCCGAGTGCAATAGGGTCATCTGTCCTTGTGTCTGCGCTGCCACCAATAACAAGAACTTCGCGCATACCATTTGCGAACCACACCCCATCATGCCCACAGTACCTCCACACTCCCGCAGATTGCCCTTCTTCATCCATACCCCAGACTTGGGTGATTTTTGACCCGACCTCATCTCCGCATACCTCCCGCATAAAGTCACGGGGATCGCCATAACTGCGGGCAAGTATGAGTCTAGCTCGCCAGAGTGAAACATAATCATACCCCGTAGCAAACACTATGACATCTGCTTGCAGTTCGGTGCCATCAGCAAATCTGAGGCCATGTTCCGTGAAGGACTCCATTGCGGATCCATTCTTGACTTTGATGCCTCCTTCAATGATACTTTTACTTGCTCCGGTGTCTGGAAGCTGTTGAGAGACATTCCTGTCGTGCATCAGAGGCACACGCACCGATATAGTAACCACCACCGCGCTCCAAGAACAGGGACATGATACCTGCTCCATGTATGCCAAGATTGGTCTTGAAGCCAACCTTAGCCAATCCATCTTGAATATCCCTGCGATCATGATTAATGCATCTGGAAGTGAACCTTTGAATTATCTGGCATACTTGTCGACGCTCTCGGCGACCATAGGAACCATACGTTGATGCAGCCGCCTGACAACTGCCCAAAGTAGCGAGGTATTATAAGTGTCAGCTAGCTTGGTAGGGAAGTCGTCATTATAGACCGCTGAACGAGAAAAGTCAAGCCAAGCTACCGAAAATCGGGGGAACAATTACCGCCTAGCATTGCTGCCACTGCCTGCGTCGAGATCACGAATGTCGACGACCGCTGATACCTAGTAATTGGTGAGACATGAAAATGACACTACCAAAGCTGATACACACATTGTGATGTCGATGCCGTGATTGCAGAAATCTTGAGCAATGTCGTGTGCTGATGAAATATTTAGACCCTGTTCGATACGAGAGATGTGACGGAGAAGATGGGATGTGGGAGCAGAAGCCCCCACAGGGCCAGATGGCCTTGATCCCAATGTGTAGGCGGGAGCGAGGAGATCCTCAGCTCAAGAGGCCAGAAGGCCCCTACCGCCCAATGTAGAAGATGGGATGTGGGAGCAGAAACCCTCACAGGGCCAGATGGCCTTGATCCCAATGTGTAGGCGGGAGCGAGGAGATCCTCAGCTCAAGACACCAGAAGGCCCCTACCGCCCAATGTAGAAGATGGGATGTGGGAGCAGAAACCCTCACAGGGCCAGATGGCCTTGATCCCAATGTGTAGGCGGGAGCGAGGAGATCCTCAGCTCAAGAGACCAGAAGGCCTCTACCGCCCAATGTCCGATAGGATCATTGATCCCGAAATTGATTTGCACGTGCCACCATCGGCCAGTGGCTACAAAGAATTTTGAGTAAAATTTTGATTCATCGAATCACGCGCAACGTCAGTACTCACCTAGCTCGAGGATGCTGAAGACCAGAATAATGTGGGAAAACACAAAGTGGTGGAAACTGATGGTGATATAATGAAAGCTGAGTGTTGACAAGTTGGAGTTGCACCATTAATGTTGAACTTTCTGTGACTAACATTATATTATGTAATCTTTCACGTCACCAACTACAAACAACGGATCAATAAACCACCACTGGTCCGACACGGAGTTCCGAGTCATACTAGCTCGAAGACTTCTTCGTCACATGCGAGTGAGTACTCTTTGTTTGATTAAAACATTTTCATCAGTCACCAGTTGCTCGTGGTTCATGCGGTCCTGCCAAGGTAGTCCAGACGAGGCACGAGCAGCACGGTGTGCCCTTGACGAAGGAGTCCGAGTACCATTGCTGCGGTGTGATCAACTCGTTGTCTCCATTTCAAATGTGGTTCCAGCTGATGGAGTTTAGCGTTCTCGTCTCGCAGACAGTGTGGCAGACTAACTTTACACAGGATATCTTCTCCGGTTTCAGAAGTAGTGGAGGAAGAGGTCGAAACCGCTCCCGATGTGTCTCATGTCGCCGTTGTTTCTCAGCCAGAGGTTCAGGACACAGGCACAGTCGTGGAAGCTCTTCCTTTAAAGCAAGCACCGCCAACACCACCAGCAAAGAATCCCCCGCTGCAGCCAGAAAGAGGTTCCATGGATTCTCATCAACTTCGTCCTGGGACGCCAGGCACACCCGCAAAAGCAAATGGCTACGAGGAACACCGACCTCAAACACCATCTAGTACTCACAGTTCATCACACGCTGCGTCTCACAAGCGTTCCATTACGATTTCCAAGGGTTACACTGTCTCCATAGTCCTCATTTCTTCCGCCTTAGAGATCATCCTGGCTTCAAAAGAGGCCAAACGATCTACACCTCTCCGCGAGAGCGCACACAATGCCTTGGATATGATACGTGTCGGTCAAGGTGGTGATCGTCCACGTGAAATTTTTGAGCCTCTACGGCTGGCATGCGAGACGCGCAGCGAGAAACTCATGATAGCGAGTCTGGACTGTATATCCAAGCTCATTTCGTACTTGTTCTTTGCGGAGCCATCATCTGCACAGGCACTTCCTTCGCCGCCTCCGTCACCTTCCATGCCAGGAAGACGCTCGATAGCTAGTGCTTCTCATTCTAGCCTTCCACAGCCTTCCCTGGTTGACCTGGTCGTCCATACCATCACAACATGCCATAGTGATACCTCCACTGAAACGGTCTCTCTGCAGGTTGTCAAAGCGCTTCTCTCCCTAGTGCTTTCGCCTACTATATACGTACACCATTCGTCACTGTTAAAGGCTGTCCGCACGGTTTATAACGTATTTCTTCTCAGCACGGACCTGGTCAATCAAATGGTCGCTCAAGGAGGACTGACCCAAATGGTGCATCACATATTTACGCGGTGCAGAAGTCCCGATGGTACAACTCAACGCTCATATGCCTCCTTCGACTCGTTGGCATCAATTCCAGCACCAGGATCGCCGAAGACTGACATCCAAAACTCTAGCTTCGTCCTCTCGGCGAACGGAGCTGAGAAATTCACGGCAGAGGCCATATGAATCTGCCGCTGAAATGTCCCCACATCCTGGTGTCCCTTCCCCCCCTTCATCTGTTCATGATCCTGACGTTCCGGAAGGAACGATTAGTCCCGCGCCGTAAGCATGTGTTCCATAACAGTTGTCGATGCTTATCAAAACATATGTCTTCAGCCCTGCTACACCTGAGGCCGCAGAAAATGGACACGCTGCAAGAGAGTTGAGCACGCAGGATATGTTTATCAAGGACGCCTTTCTGGTTTTCCGAGCCTTGTGCAAATTGACAATGAAGCCCTTGAATACGGAGAGGTATGCTTTTACTTGCTTCATCAAGCGCGACGATACTGATTCCCAGCACAGCGAGCGTGATCTCAAATCTCATGCCATGAGGTCTAAACTCTTGTCTCTCCATCTCGTGCTCACCATCCTCAATTCGCATATGGCACTATTCGTTGATCCGAAAGCCATAATCTACTCTTCTTCCACGAACGAGGCAACTACTTTTGTTCAGGGGGTCAATCAATATCTTTGCCTCAGCTTGAGCCGCAACGCAGTTAGCCCCGTGCCCCAAGTGTTCGAAGTCAGCGTGGAGATCTTTTGGCGAGTGTTATCAGGAATGCGAACGAAGCTGAAGGTACTATCATTATCCATGAACTGCTCTTGACTCATTCGTTTCTGCAAACAGAAAGAGATCGAGGTCCTATTGCACTAGGTATTCGTTCCTATCTTGGAAATGAAGACCTCAACTCTCAAGCAGAAGGCTGTAATCCTTGGAACGCTCTCAAGGCTTTGCCAGGACCCGCAGGCTTTGGTGGAGATATATCTCAACTATGACTGCGGCAGCGAAGCTACAGATAATATATACGAGCAGTAAGTATCAGAGGATCACGGATCCATGCTGCAAGCTAACTTGATGATCAGTCTTATGAACATCATCTCCAAAATTGCTACATTACCTTATACTTCCTCGCAACAAAAGACGAATGACCCTGCAAGCCCGGCGCTCCCGCCACAGACGAAGAGCTCAGCGTCGACGGCACACGTGTCGAGCGCACTAACTGTATCCGGCACCATGGACACGTCCACCATGGGTCTTTCCGAGGGGCAACTTAGAAGGCAGGGTCTTGAATGCTTGGTGGCTGTTCTCAGATCTCTTGTGACTTGGGGAACAGCCGCTGGGAAAACCTCTGCGGAATCTGCAACCGCCGATCCTGCCTCAAGAAGCCAGACTGGGGAAGAGATTGCAGCCGACACTATGACGCCTGATCCTTCGTTAGATAGGTTGATTGCTTCTGCTGCAAGCACGGAAGCCCTTCAGCAATCAACTCCGGACACTGCCGACGATCCCTCCAGGTTTGAGAGCGCAGAGCAAAAAAAAGACTAATTGCGACAGTTCCTGCCTCCGCTACCACAACAAGTCTCAACCCTCTTCTCACCCTTGCTCGACCAGGCTGGCATTGACGACACTGTGATGACAACGGCAAGACACGCAATGCAAGGATGTGGCACAGGTAAAAGATCACATCCAAACCCTGCAAGGTGCATGTACTCCCTCTCTGTTTCTGTGCCTCTTCACCAACACCACTTTAGATTCGCGTTCCTTGGCTATTTGG